TTCCCTCGCTGAGCGCGGAGGAGAGGGAGAAGGTGCGGGCGGCCGCCCGGCATGGGGGCGAGGTGGAGGGGGCGGAGGAGCTGCTGCGGGCCGTGGAGCGGGGCCCCCGCGGGTGCGGCTGGTTCCACGAGTTCCTGCAGGCGCTGCAGCACGGCGGCTGCACCCTGGCCGCCTGCTACGTGAACCCCAGCCTCAGCCAGCTGCCCTCGCCGGCCGAGGAGGCCGACCACGACCTCTGCGTGCACTTGGTGCAGCTGCTCCACAGCACACTGGTGGATAGAATGCAGACCATGCAGGTGGCCGAGAAGTGCCTAGAGATGGGCATCTTCCAGGACGAGGACATGGATCAGGTAAGTGGCCCGCTTGCCAGGACAAGCACCACGCTGTGCCAGACACTGGCCACCTCCAGGAGCCATGGGACTGATAGGAAGATACAACTAGAAATGGCCTTGTAAGTGTAAAAATGAAAGGGGAATACCCAGACTTGGAGGGAAGAGAAATGGTGCTCCAAGTAAAGCAATGAATACTGTTGACAATGGGCCAACAGGTGGGATGCCAGCTAAGAACAAGGGAAAGAAAAATGCCATGAAAAAAGGGTTAGACTAAGCCAGTGTTTATGTGGAAGGAATGCAGCCAGCTTTACTGTTATTTAGCATTTTGCTACAGACCTTCGTCTCAGAAGATCATTAACTGTCTTCAAGGTCCCTGAACCATACCAGGAAGTAGTGATGGCCTGTAAAGTCCTAGAGAATACTTGAGTTAAAAGAAAGCAAGACTTTCCCTCGCCTTTTTTGCAATAGGTTCACTGGGGAGTATTGTACTAGACAGTGAAGATGAGCAGAACCATTTTGACAAGAAAGAGCAAGTGTTAATCTTTGATGAAAAAAATTTGCCAATGTTTACTCCATTTGGCTAAGATTGACTTGCCTGGACTAATGTGAAATTTTTTTAGAACCCAAAGAAATAGATACCCTGAAACAGGGTTAGAAGAAGAAATTAAAATACTTGCTGTAGCCATAAGAGAAGAACTGGCAAACTAAGGATGCAACTACATATTTGCACTCTGAGCTTTTGCACTACCACTTTTTAGGTAGTTTAATGCTCCATCTCAGTTAAATGACTGTCATATACATAATTTTGTCTGGTGACTATCAGGTAGTAGTAAGGCCCAGCTGCACCCGAATGGATGAGGAGCCAAGCATGGTAATGCAGCAGGCTGAGGCAGAGGCCTTTTAGGAGATTACCAGCTCCATTCCCTGGTAATGAGTCTGTGTGTTTCCCCTGGGTCATCTTTTTGCTGCTGGTATTCCCATCAAGCCCTTCATTAACCTTCACAATTTCAACTCTAACAGGGCCTAGGCTTTCTTAATGCACTTCCGTTTTTGTTTACTTCTCCCCGCTCCCACTTCCCATGCACTTCCTTTTAGTGGTCAGGGGTGCCCACTGGTCAGGGGTGCCCATTGCTATGCCCACCCGTTTTCTTGTGTATCAAGATGGTGATTATTGAGCCTTGAGAAATTTGACTTTGAGGACTGAACAACTGTCTAGGGCTGCTTTGGTTTTGGGGTGGTCATTTTGTTCCTCATGTGATTACATGTCAAATTCTGCTCATGACAGCCTTGGGACACTTTTCCATACCTTCTCTGAGGGCAATAGCCACTTTCTAGGGGCTTAGCTAGTGTACCCTGAAGTGGGAATTGAGATGACGAAGCCAGAGTTGAAGAAGGGAAATGTTCTATTTTTATGTGTAAGGTCATGTTACAGATTAAGTCTGAGTTCTGATAAATTGTGTAACATCATTTCTTTTTAATCAAGGTTGGCTATTCCCTAAATCAGTGCAAACACCAGTTATTATTCCACATGAATAATAATTATTATATTTTTATAGTGGTTACTATTATAAGTATTATCCAGTACTACCAGTGTCTCCAGTTAAATTTCAGGACTCAAGTTTTATATGTCCTACCCAAAACCATATGGGATAAACATAAGGTTGGACAAAACTGTAGTAAGTCTCCTCTGATGAGTGGCAGGCCCACTTTGTATCTTTATTTTTAAGTATATTTTAATGATGACAGGGAAATGCTTTTGTACCTATATTATTCCTACTAACTTTCCCGACCCATTCCCAAAGTGTGTCTCAGGACTTTATTTATTTATTTGTTTGTTTGTTTGTTTGTTTGTTTTCACCAGATCCACACTGTTACTGACAATCGTGGGAACAGAGAGGGTGCAAGGGAGCTATTGAGCAGAATAGTGCAGAAGAAAGATTGGTTCTCTCCTTTTTTGATTGCTTTGCGTGAAACCCAACATGGAGGCCTTGCAGATGATTTATGTGGAAATACAGGAGGTAATAATCTTATTTCACTAGTAATAATGTGTGGGGTTTTAATATCTCTTTATGTACTCAGGAAACAATGCAGGGTTCTCACTATATTGATTTCTCTGCAACACTGAGACCAATGCTTTCACCTGTCCAGGGATTTCAAAATCAAGTTATTTTAACAGTTTATTCAATAGATTCTTAAATACTAAAAATCCTTATTAAGCGATATCATAATTTCAATAATATGTCTGTAGTTGTAATGAAACTGAATCCTTACCTTTTATAACCCATTGGTCAGTGTGATGTTTATATAATTGTTCGTAAAACATATGCTGAGGATTAATTTGAACAAATGAAACAAACCTTTTCTGGATTTCTCCTTCAACTCAAGGATTAGTGTTTCCTTTATTAAATGGTTTACAAATATATGTGTCATTTTACAGTACATTGCGGTGTGTCTCCTTGGGGATAAGATATTCATATGTCTCAAGACATTATCTAAAATTTACTGTAAATGATAGAGTAAACTAGTAAAGAAATTATTTACAGAAATGAAACTGAAAGAGCTATAGATTTTTGGTTACTACTTTGTATTCCTGTACTGTGATTATGATATTGTAAAAGTATCCCAGTGATCCCCTGGGATCAGTATGAAAGTATGAAAAAGGAAGCAGTCCCCAAATACACTATCCCTCTTTTTTTAAATTTTTTTTACTGGGCTCCACATATGTTTTATAAGATTTTTGAGACCAAAGTTTTTTAACACATTTCCCATTTAGCAGCTTCAGCCTACTTGCTTAAGGAGCTCACCAGAACTATGTCTCTGTACTTTTAGTTGCTGCATATGGGACAGTGCATTAAGATGGGGATAAGAGGGTCATGAAGGTGTGCATGATGAATACAGGTTAGTTCTCTGTTTTCTGTGCTCCACACTAAAAGAAATTAAATATTTTATAGTGCCTTGGAATTTCTATTTACTTTCTAGGAACAGAGAATAGACAAAATGAGGTGAAGAACTGTACAAACGAAGAAACAGAAGTTGCAAGCCAACCAGGATATGCTGTAGTAGAGGAGTTGAAACAGCATGAAAATGTGAATGATAGTTTCATCAGTGAAAACAATGTATTGGAAACATCTGTTGGAAAGAGTTCTGTAGTTTCAGGTATGTTCTCTAACTGGTATTTTGTGCTGGTTCCAGTTAAACTTTAGTAACTGCAAGTAACTGAGAGAACAACGTTCTTGGTGCATTAGCTCCCTTCTTGCTCAAAAATACAGGAATATATGGCACTGTTGAGGTGAAGAAGTGAATGGAAAAAGTAAATCTTGTTTATTTGGAAGCAGTAAATTTCTTCCTATAAATTAACAGCAGTAGCGATTTTAAGGGTCATATCTACAAATTTATTCATTTTAAAGAGTTGAACTAGGGCAGGACTATGTTGTTGTACTTGAACTAAATATTCTGAAAGGCAAGAAACCAATTTGCTAGCCTAGTGTAGAATGGCTTAGGAGGACATGGCCAAAAAAACTTTAGTACACCATGTGCAGCCTTCATGTAGACATTTTCTATATCCTGGTTTCAGTGATGATGTTTTATCTCCTGTGGGCTGATTGATTTTATTATAATTGAACAATAGTGATGATCTTCCTTTCTTCTTAAATAGCACTTTTAACAACTTTGTATTATTATTTTTTAATTTACTCTGTGAAAAAATGACTTGTTTTCAAACATATATAATCTTTTTAATTTAAAATATTAATATTACTAAATTAATACTTTATTTCAGACCTATTCATAGTAGGTTTATAATATGGAATGAAAACCACTGGGTTTAGATTAACAACTCCTCCCAGCGTTGACAGAGTTTAAATCAAGAGCAGTGTTTCTGTACCACTAAAACTGCAGCTGTATTAAGTACTTCTTTCTAGGTGGCTGGTAATTCTATATTGGAAAACATTTTTGGTTTGGTTAAGTCCTTTAGTGCTGTCTAACAAGTAATTTTTCTGTTTCTTCTAAAGATTTGTATTTACAGAGTGTCAAACAACCTTTGTCACTTGTATCACATGCTCAGAAGTACATTTTTAGTAAAAATTTTTAGAAAATGTTGAGGCCTGTTGTTCATATGGATCCACTTTTGAAAATGTGCCTTGGGAGTTGATTATGAGCAACAGCAATTACCAGCAACAATTCATAGACATAGCTGGGAACCAATGATTCAAACATATGCTGTATGATTAAGGAACCATTCATATGTGTTACAAGTTCAGATGGAGCTCAAACAATAGTTAAAACTGAGATAAATCCTGCCTGAAATGATTTTAGTGGGCTTACTCAGCCAAAGCACTAAAACAGCTAAGGCTGCTCTTTTTTTTTTAAACAAACATGAATAAATAAAAAAAAATTGGCTCCGAAAACTGCAACCTTTCAGTGTGCAACAGTAGTAGCCTATTTCTCATTTAGCATGATATTAACAGCATATCACAATGCTTTGTAGCAAGTAGTGAATTATTAACTACAGCAAAAATATCAACTTGGTTTTCCTGGATTAGAACATAATTTGGCAGTATAAAGAAGAGGTGCCAGATATTTAATGATGATGATTCACAAGGGATCAGACTGAGTTATCCTTACTCTTAGTTAGTATCCTTTCAGGGCAAGGCTAAGGCTCTTAATTGTAGCCTCACTGAGGGTAGGTTTTCATTGGTTAGCCTGATCTTCTACCTGATTCTTGTCAGGTTGAGGGTTACAGATAATGAGATCTATTAGCCATTAACTAGACTGCCACAAGCTAATTCTGGCCTGAAAACTGTGGTCTCCTCAGCACTGAACTGTACTGAAATTAATAGCCAGTGGGTGTTAGTGCAGCCGAGTGGGTTTGTTGAGTGCAGTGGTGCTAAGGGTGTACATACTACATGAATTCTGGCAGTTTGTTTCAGATTGACTTCAGTCTGGTGTGGACTGTATGCCTGCAAGTGGCTGGAACTCATCTCATTTGGTTTCAGCTGACAGGAGTTCACTTCTGGTCCAAACCAAGTCTGTGATATGAGCTAAAATAGTATAAGTGGGGACAATGGACAGATTCACTGTAAATGTGCACTTCTGAGTTGAACTAATCCAGCAGCGTAGATGTAAGGTAGTAGAGGGCTGTCAGGAGACAGTGCTACATGAGGATGAGTGTAGAAGAACTGGCTCACGTTCAGCCATCTTGAAGTGCAGTAAGCATTGATCTATGCACTTGTACACACAAACTTAACGGCACTCAAGTCTTTTTCCATTTCCACCCTTTCTCATGATCTCATAAGACTGTATTTTTAGACAAGGCAGCTGAAAATACAACTGGAGGCCGGATTCTACTTCCAAGTAGGCACGGAACCCACCTAATTTGCAATTTGATGCTGTCAAGTGTTGTCAGTTTTGCAGTACACTCCCACCGTTCCTTCATGTATTGAGAAGGACAAATTTCAAGGAGAAAGAAGCTTTTTCAAGTCACTTGAAGGTACTGCAATTTGCATTGTATCTAAAAGCCTCCACTGACCCTTTTATTGGAGTAGCTGAGACAGAGGGAGTCAGAAGGTATGAGGGCAGTAGGGTCATAAAGTAGAAATAGATCATTTAGCCTAAGAGAAAACTAGAGAGAAATTGTGCATGCAAAAACAGATAAGAAACTACGCACACAAAAACCAGCACAAAGCAGTAAATTTGCAAGGTCAGAAGTGAAACACTTGGATTAAGGCTACAGTTACCTGTATAAACAACAACTTAAATATATAGCAGCTCTGTTTTTCAAGGCCTTTTTCATTAAAAACAAAAAGAAATACTTGATTGGAACAAATAATTACACTGCAATTAACTGGAAATTTCAGTTATGTCTCACAGAATGTCACTTAATGCTTCAGATTAGGAAAAAAGTATATAATTTGAAATTAGGATCAGTTTTAATAGCCTGTTTATATTTTGGTCCTCCATTTATATTTTCTGATGTTTGGACCTTATTCTATGACATAATGTAGCACAGGACAGGAAAGAAAGAGTTTTCTAATTAATAGTGCATAGGTCCATTTTTTTTTCATTGCATTCCATTGTCTTTATACTTACTGGTGAAAAGTGACTGAAAATCTTTCTGTGGAATATGCTGCATTAAAATGTGCAAGTAGCACTGTAAAGCAAGACAGCTGTTAGAATATCAGCTGTTTTATCTTCATTACTTTGGAAAGGCTTACTGTTTATATTTTATTTTAAAATAATTCATGAATGTTGCCACAGTTGAAAAAGGAGAATATTATTCTATTCACCTTTAATTTGGAAGATGAACATTTTGCATTTCACTTCGCCGCTGACATTTTCTGTTGATTTTGTAATGCGCGCTGCACATAGTAATTCAGATAATTATGTACAAACCACTTCGTGGATGCATATTCTTTGCTGTATATACATCCTTCAGTAGGTCATTTTATATGGGAGACTGCATAGAATAGATACATAGAATCTTAATTTTGTCCTCTCTTTCCTAATCCGCGTGGATTCCTAGAAAGTGAAAACAGGAGATGGCAGTGTCATCTTCATTAGCTGAAATTCTCACTAATGATACTTAATAGTTTGTCACAGGTCTCTGAACATGGATTATATGGTGAGGTTCTCTTCTTTTTTTCAGGACAATGCTGTCTTTTAAATGTGATATTAAAAGTATGCTATTATATGATAATAGGGAAATTTTATATAAATCAGACTTCTGATGTGAATATATATTTTTTAAGTGCCATCATTCACAGCATCTGTTTTGCTTTATGAATTACTTGTTGAGGACAATATTTATATGGACCATAATGGGATATTTACTGGAAAAAACTATGAAAAACTTGATAGGACACAAGTTCACAAGATAATTAAGCAAAACATAGCTCAGTGCTATTCTGACTGATTTCTTAGTTTCACTGAGAGCTTAGTTGCAGGGTGCTGCAGACAAGCTGACAGTGCAGGGTGAGGCTGTTTGCAGCAGTTTTTTCCAGAGGAACTGTGTATCTCTTTAAATATTTAAAGGACTGTGTTTTGGAAAATCTAGCTATATAAATTACACTTGTGAAGAAAAGTCAGTGTAATACATTGAGTACCCAGCAGAGGGAGAGCTTAACATGAGAATATCTACAGTAAACTTGCCAGATTTCTGTGGCAGTGTTGGTCTTCTGTTGGGTGTAACAGGATTGTCAGTCTGCTTTTACTTGTAAATAGTTTGGAAGATTTAATAATTCCTCTCTGCCTTTATTTACCTGGGAACTATGGTTTCGTCTTTTCATGTTACATGAAGAAACCTTTTTTTTTAAAAAAAAAAAAAAAAGTCACAGTTCTGGTTTTGATTTTCTTCTACTACAGATATGATTTGTGTGGCTTACAAAGAGTAAAAGAGAATGATTTCAGTTTGCTAGTAGTGCTATGTATCCAGTAGACCAACTTTTTTGTTGTTGACTCTTCACCCTTCTGAAAAGATACAGTAAACTAGGGTTAGAGGGGATCATGCAGGTGGTCATGTCCAGACCCCTTCTTTCAAGCAAACAGAATATATATGCCTGACAGCAATAAATCATGATCCACGTTGCCTTACCTCTCCTGTGTTTTGGATTTTCACCTTCCACTCCATATTTTCTTCCTTAATAAAATTAATTATATTGTTCACAGTTTTTTCTTTACCTAAGAAAAAGTTAAATAAAGGAAATTATACCTCACCCATCCCTGCCAGACATTTGTCTAGCCTATTTTAACAACTTAGGGAGAGAGCAAACAATATGCTTTTGCTATTTATAATTGTATAGCAAATACACTATACTACATTTGTTTGTGCTTTTCATTTAGAGTCAGATGTCTCCATAGGAGATGGAAGTGTCAGTAACTTGGATGAAAACCTGGGACAGAGCTGCACAACCAGTGATACAGGTATGTTTCCCTTCTGTTTTTCAGTAATTATAAAATAAGATGGGCTAGAGCAAAAATAAATGGAACTCTAGTTCACAGTATCAAGATGCCAGTCTTCCTCTTATTTTATTGGAAAACAGATGCCAATTTTATGGGTCTGTACTTAAGTCCCAGCTCCAGAAGAGCTGATCTACTGAGATCTTCTGAATAGGTCTCTAGGCATCGTCATCACACAGAATGGTCAGTGATGCAGAATGATAGAATCACATAGACTGGAAGGGACTTCCAGAAGTCTTCCAGTGCAGTCACCTGTACAGATATAATGCTGCCATATATATGTGCTTCTTTTGTTCTCAGAGAGGAGCTAGATTGTGTCTGGCCCCTGCATAGAGTAAGTGAGAGGGACATGCTTTAGGGACATCTAAGAGTGAGGAGAAGCATTTCCAGAGTACCCGCAGAACGGTAGCGAAGGTCCACCTTGGACCTAAGTAATATAGTAGTACTATTTGTAAAAGCAGTGTCATCAATGGAGGTTACTATCTGAAGACCTTTCCAAATCTCAGATTTAAACATATGTGCAAGTTCTAAATATAGTTTTAGACTAAATATTGGATTGTGTTTACATAATACTTTGCAGACAGATATGAACTTGCTATGTATATTCTCTGAGCCCAGTTACTGCTGTTGTAAAAGACACACCAATTTTTTTTCTTCTTTTTTTAAATCTTAGACCTCAGGCAGAACTAATTTGCAGCTGTCCACCATGGTGAACAACCTGTGTTTGCCTGCACAATATTTAAAAGGAACCAGTTACCTTTTGGAATCTAGCCTTTATACAGTATGTGCTGGGACTGTGTCTTGTACAAGGGCTAGAAACAATCTGGTTACCTTGCAGGCCAGCTCTGCCTAGTAAAGTTAGTACTAGATCAGTAAGTCAAGGTAAATGTTACGTATCATATGCCTTCAAAGTGTTTACTATAAATGCTTTTAAAATAGTTTCAGGCTTTTGAAATATTAAAGTTCATGTATTTTGTAAGTACACAGAAAATTCAGGATATCTCAGATCTAAATTGCTACCCTATAGCTAGGATTTTAGTCTATATATTGCTAACTATAAATATGCTTTGCACTTCTGCATCAACTAAGGTGACTCATCAGTCACATTGTATTTTTTCCTCACTGTGTCACATGAAATGTCTGGGCACAGCAACTTTTCTGTTCTCTGGACAGTCACACTATATAAGTTGGTCAGGCTGATACAAGCTACTGATATGTGATAGCAGATATATATCTATGGCCTAGTACTTTAAGAGTCCTGAAAAATCACACATTAAGTAAATTGATCATTGGCTATATCCAGCAGTCCAGCAGGAAAAAACACAAATCACTACAATTATGTAAAGAATGAAGAATAGATTTTTTTTTCCAATGTTTGCTTGCTATTTGTTCTGTTTACATGTAGGCTTTAAAAACTAGTTAAAATGTTTTAAAAACTTTCATGCATTTTAATCATGTTTAGTGAACGCAGTGAGAGCAACTATGAGAAAAAAAGCAAAGAAGATACAGATTGACTGTGATATTTATGGATTTTATAATTTGAAATTTTGCAGTAAGGCTGTTGTATTAATAGAGGTGTTTGGATAGTGTCTTAATGCACTGACATGATTTGGATTTCAGTGCAGAGAATCATGGATTTAGTTGCAGTCTTCTATGCAGGGATCACTTTACGTTTGAGAAAAATGGTGGAATTAGGACAATAGATGAATAATTATAATCTTTCTTTTCGCTCAGAGCAGTAATTCATATGAACCTTGTATGAAGGCAGACAACTTCACTAAAGTTATACCATGCACAATGAAAATTCTTTAATGGAATCATATCCTATGAAAAGATTCCTGTATTAGCCTTTATCTAAACAGGGACTGAGGAAGCTGGGAGAGAGCTAAGTTAAATATTTTTTAGGCCTGGACAGTTAATTGAGGATGTTAAGGAACTGAAATTTAACCAAACAGATGGGTGATAAAGTGCTAGTTTCAATACGATTGAACTATTGAATTTAGCCAACCAGAAAGCAAACAACGTTCTTCCTCAAAAGGGAGTAGTAGAAGTCAGATAAGTAACCACAAGTACTCTCTGTTGTGAATTTCCCTGTGTTCCAGGTAGTACTGCACTCACACTAAAAGGCAAAACAAGCAAAAAACACTTAAGAATGGCATTCAGATGTTTCCATCAGCAGTATTTTATCAAGCTTCATTACTTTTTGTTAGTTTAATTTTATTTAATGGAATCAGGGATACTAGAAAAATACACTTATTTTGTGTGTAATGTATCAGTGATAATAAAATCCTCATGATTCTTCATTTAGTGATATCATCAGGAAATAAAACTGCAGGTTTTTTTCCCTCATTTTTAGTCTAATAGAATGAATTTGTGCCTTTCCTACACTGAGGACAGTTAATGCTTGGAGAGTGATTTAAACATGTCTGTAGGGAAAAAAAAAAAAAGCCCAAAACTCCAGTGAAATAAATCCTTATGTTATTTATATATAATTTCTGACTTCCTAAATATATGTTGAGACTTGATGTGCTTTTCTTACTGTCTGAAATAATGCAACAGCATTTTTCTGCTTTTAACTTTTGCATGTTGTTTGTTTCACCTGTGAGCCACAGATCTGAACTCTCTGCCATTGCATTTTATATGATAGATGGAACATTTTGGCCTTCAGGTGGCAAATGTATATGGCTTTTTATTGAACAGCTCAGCTGCATTACATATGAGTCAGTCTGGAAGCAGCACAATCTACCATGAATAGGTGTAATACATTCTGCAGTTAGCTCTATCTTGTATGGGCAATTGAATTTTCTTATCTATTTGATCTTTATACTTTATAACTCCCTTCATTGTTTTTTAAGTGATCCCTATCTCTTTTTCATTCTATGGCTCCATCCTCCTTTTTCATCCTCTGGGAAGTGTTTAAAAAGGTATCTCACTTGCAACCAAATAAATTTCAGTACTGATGAAAGAGAACATCACATAAGATTGGCTAGATTATAAATACTGCAGCTCTGAACACAACCTTTGTTGGTCCCAGCGCTACTGAACTGTATCATTAGAGTTCATACGTAATAATAGTCATGTCAGCATAGATGGGTGAAGACATACTATGACTTGTTCCACCTACCCTGGTTTGTGACTGGACGTAAGCAGTTCTGATTCAGAGTTGTACAGGTCTACAGAGCAGCATTGCCTATGCTAATATGCCCTCTTTCTATTTAATCAGAAGATGCTTCTGATAATTAATATTTTTTTCCCTTTTACATTTGTTCAATATTTTGATAAATGTTCTGTGCCTCATGTTTGATACTTATATTTCTTTGTACCCTTAGATGAAGATGAAGTGGAGAGCAGAGCTTCACCTGAGCCAGATCTGATCCTGAGAGATTACCAGATGGAAGTTGCAAAGCCAGCACTGAATGGGGAGAATATTATCATATGTCTCCCTACAGGCAGTGGTAAAACCAGAGTGGCTGTTTACATTACCAAAGATCACTTGGATAAGAAGAAAATTGCATCAGAGCCTGGCAAAGTTATAGTACTTGTTAATAAGGTATGCTGGTCCATTTTTTAAAAAAAAGGTTTTTTTCAAACCTCATACACTGTTAATATAGAACTTGTAAAATGAATATAAACATGTTTCTCAGCTTCTCCAGATGTAGCTTGTGTTTAAAGACATACAGCATTAGACTGTCATGTCCATTGCACCATCATCATGGTGCAAGCATGAATGATTTTAGTTTATCCCAGTTCAAGTGCAAATTTAGATATGCCCTAATAACCACATAATAAAATTTCATGTTAGAATGAATAGAACTAAAATGATATTTTAAAAAATAAAAATATTTTTTCACATTCTATTTTTGGATTTGGTGATGAAGACCACCTAATGAGTCTCACAGTAGTTAGGGAATATTCTGTCAGATTTTCTGATAATTGATGTAATTTTTACAAATAAATTTAGCACATATAAAGTAATATTCTATTGTGATATTAAAATATAGAAACACATTGAATAATTTTATTAAAATCTTTCCGTATCCTTTTATAAGAATAAAATTGATAGCATGTTATAAGCTCAGTTAAAAAGCCAGAGCATGCGTGCCTGGTTTGTTCGTTCTTTCCAACGCAGAGTTAAACCAAAGTTCTTGGGACAAAAAGCTTTCATAAGAGCAGTTGGAGGGGAGAGGTTGGTTTGAGGATTTTTTTTTATGCTTGGTTTTGGTTTTTTTGTTTGATGGGATTTTTTTTAAATCCTGTCCTGCTGTGAATAAGGGGATGTTTTCTTTTTTAAACAAGTACATTTTGCACAAAATGTATGTTCACCTAACAGTATTTCTAGCAAATAGGCATGTATTTTCAATCCTCTTTATGCTGTAGTTTAAATTCTTTGGAAACTTATCCAGGTACCACTGGTAGAACAACATTTACGAAAGGAGTTTAATCCATTCCTGAAGCGTTGGTATCAGGTTATTGGTTTAAGTGGTGATTCTCAGCTGAAAATCTCATTTCCTGAAGTTCTCAGAAGAAATGATGTCATCATCAGTACAGCACAGATCCTTGAGAATTCACTGTTAAATGCAGCCAAAGAAGACGAAGAAGGTGTCCACCTATCAGGCAAGTTCTTAATTATGAAATTTTTACAGAAGGGCTAAAAGTATGTCTCTGTTCTAGAAAACTGCAGAGTAAAAATATGCCACATTGATTAGTTAATATTTTTCAGTTGACTGGTTTTATAAATGCAACCTGAGAGTCAAACCAGATCCTAGTTGATAAGCATGCATTTTTTTCAAGGCAGATCAGTCTCTTACAGTTCATTTATACTAAATATTTGTTATGCTTCCTATTTTATCTAGCTCAGGCACAACAGTGCAAATGCAGCTGAACTGGCTCTACTTTCCAAGCTTGCTAGAGCATTGAGTTACATCACACAGAAGCCATAAACAGGATGAGAAAAAAATTATAAAAACTCAAATGTAGTTGGTAGTTTGAGAAGTATAGTGGAACACAAGATAAAAGCCAATCTGTTATAAAAGTTACATTCTTTAAACTCTTTATCTTTTTGCTCACGTAAAAGATCTCTGAGGTTGACAGATATAATGGTGTCCTACAACAGATGAAGGAAATTGAAGCAAACAAAAGATACAAGATGAGATGAGGTAAAATTGTTTGCCCAGAATACTAAAGTGGCAGATATCTATGGGAGATCAGAAAGGAAATGGTATTATCTGCCAGTGATATACAAATAATGGAACAGCCCCTGACTTCAGCTCCAGGATTTGGGCTATAGTGACCCTCCTCTGTGAGATGTTAACTTCTCCCTCTATCCGCATGCAGTTAGTTCTTACTTTTAGATGGGGCAGGATGAAGCTGAGGGGAGAGCTATGATATTTAAAATAATGGATCTGAGATAAAAGTAGTTCTTGTCTCAGTGTTACAGGGACAGCAGAGAAACCTGAGGGGTCAGTCTGTGTCTATCAGTGCCTAGTGCTGAAGGGATTACTGCTTGATCCAAACTAACTCCTGCAGAGCCACTTGGGTACCTCAGAATTGCTTCCTTCCTTCAGAATGCTGTTTTATTAACCTAGGCAGAGTACCAGAGACTTTATTTCCTTTCTGCTGCATCTAATAAACCTTCCCAAATCTGAATGCCTTATAGAGACACCTGAACATTCCTGCAGGAGCTGCTGACCTGATTAGAATTGGGCTGAATCCAAACCAGTTTATGTAATGAAGTGGGGTTTCTGAATGGGTTTCACACCTTGCAAAGTTTCCTTCAATAGGGAGCTACATTTTTTCCATGAGGTGTCCCTGCAAACAGGGCTGTGTTTCCTTGCTATCACATGTGTGCTAGTAAGTTCAGCTGGACCAAAGCCAAGCAAGCCTGAACAGAGCCAGCTCCATTTTTATGGCTATGACTTGGTTAGCTTGCAGCCTATATAAACCATCCTAATTAGTTACAATTTTTTGTTCCTAATTTCTGTTCATACTTGTTTAATCTGTTTCCACGAAGGTCTGCATTACATCTAACTTGTAATCCCAGCCTCAGTGAAATGGAGGGGACACTCTTAATTGCATTTTACCAAATGTTCACCTTCTTTACCAAGGAGTGAAGTCTCTGTGTGGACTTTCTAAAAGATATGTATCACTTCCTTAGTAGAAGCACATTTCTTCTCGTGGGTTCAGTTCTTCCTGAGTAATCATAGGAACATGCCTTACAGAGATGATGGTCAAAATCAAAGGGAGTAATTTCATGTTGGCAAAATAACTATGAAACTGCCGGTACTGTTTCTGAAGCCTTGCAATATGTAAAAATCTTAGAAATAAATAGCAATTTAGTTTTGAAACCACATCAGTCCAGACTGGCGTCCTGAATCGCTTGTATGAACACAATCAGATTTCCCTAATGTGTAGCACTAGTTTGGTTTTCTTAGCAGTAGTCTGGTTTAGCCTTTAAATAAAATTTCCCTTGTTCAGTCTCCACCTTTCTTTAGGTTTTTCAAAGACAAAGTTACATGATATTTTCTCCAGCAGAAAGGCTCAGAATGTTCTAGTTCTGTGTTTCCAACTTCTGTTGCCAGTTGTTGCAAACTCATTTGCAGTGATGTAACAGTTTGAGCACTCTAGTGTGTATAGGAGACCATGGAACTTGCCTGGATTAAAAAAAAAGAAAAAAAGAAAAAAAAAGCGTTTGATCATTTCAGTGATCTGCGTTATGGTCATTTCCATAAACATTCATTGAATTGTAGGAAACGCTGTCGAATTACAGAGTTATTGGCCATCTGCAAGAATAGTGGGAGCTCCATAAATCAGTTTTGCTGTTAGAGAAACAGAGAAATGTTCATGAGCCTTTCAAATCAGAACCTTGTAATATATGCCACTGGCTGCATATGCAGATAGATTAAAGAGATGTTTGTGAGAAATTTAAAACTCAAAATAATCTTAATTTTCCTTATTGTATAGGAATATAAATCGTATACGCATATAAATATGATCTGACTAAAAAGCACATAATACCTGTCTGATTCTTCATCAGCTTCCTCCACTACAAAAGAGATGATTGGTAGTGTTCCCACCATCTCTTTGTTCTTTTCAGTGACACATCCATAAAGTAATATAAATCTTTTAATTGGACAGGAATAGGGAGGAAATCTCTGTGCTGCTATAAAATGGAAGCATATTTTGATCAGTACAGGCCTTTCTAGAATGTCTGAAAGGCTTCTGATATGTATCTTCTTATAAACAAACAGTGTGTAGTTTGTCAGATACAGTTATGGATATAAGATATGATTGAGTTAAACTGTGATATCTTCTTACCACTGATTATTAAAAATATTTCCCTGAAATTATTTATACCATCAGATTGGTTTTGCAAAAATAGAAATTTTTTTTTATATTACATGATATGTAAAACTAGATAACACATCAAGACTGCAGCAAAGATTCCAAAGTCCATTAAATATACACAGCTTCCATGCATGCCTTCCTTCGGCACTACAAATTTCCTAATAAATTAGGGTTCAAACAAACTGACGGCTTCTCTTCCATAGTGGCCTTACCTGTAAGAAGATTTAGTCACACAAATTATACATTTGAAAAAAAATTTAATCATTTAGGGGTCTTTTTCTTTTTTCAGATTTTTCACTTATCATTATTGATGAGTGTCATCACACTCAAAAGGAAGGTGTCTACAACAATATAATGCGACGATACTTAAAAGAAAAGATGAAGAACAGGAAGCTGGCAAAAGAAAACAAACCACTGATCCCGCAGCCTCAGATTCTGGGACTTACAGCCTCACCTGGTGTAGGAGGTGCAACATCCTACTCAAAAGCTGAAGAACATATTCTGAAAGTAAATAGCCCTCACACTTGCAAACCATCAAAGGGATATTGCCTTGTTCAAATGAAACTTTTAAAGTCAGTGTTAGGCTCCAAATAGATAATCTGATTTATTTTTTTCATGTTCACCTCACCGCAATTCGGCAGTTCAGCAAATTGACTCACTACAAATTCCTGGAAATCTATGTACAAATAAATGTAACTTTACAAGAAAGTGGCGTTACTGAAAAGGGAATGAAAAAGATTGCCTCACTTGAAAAAAAATACTCAAGATCACAGGCAAGAGATCCAGAAAATAGTGAGGGTTTACAGTTAATAAAAATATTTTTTTTTCATTGATGGATTAGAATTTACTGTGTATTTCTAAATAGAGAGATCACAGTATTTTATATCTGTATTTCTAGAGTGACTAAGCAGGGCTTTTGTGTGGATTCAAGAAACTGAAAAACAAAGTTGAATACTTAAACAAGAAGAAACCACTTGTGAGATACAGGTAGCATACAAACATTTTTCTTTACAGCAGTTAAAAGTACTCTTTGAGAGGGGAGTATTATATAGTTGCGTAAATACCTGACTGGAGATAATTGTTTAAATTTTATATTCAAAAACCCTCTATTTTACTTGAAACTTAATGGATTTACATTAGTAGTACCAAAATAGAATTTAGCCCAGTACTCCAGTGAAAATTGACTAGCAAGTTGCCCAAGAACAGATGATCTTGAATAGGTGAGGCCTGCAAGAAGCTTTTGTGATGTACTGAAGTAGATAGAATTGCATAATACTTTGAGACAAAAACGTTCTGGCAATGGAAAAAGAATGACTTTTCATCAGCTCTGAAATCTTAACGATGGGTTGCTGGGTTTTGTATCTAAAGAAACGTAATCTGAATACACAAGCTCAAATAGATAACTACTGCCGAAGACATTAAAAAGGTTGCCTGTCAGACTTCCTTTCCTGTTTTCTCTGCTAATAAAAATTTCTTAAAATTTCCCCTTATTACTGTAGACACAGTGATAGAAATGTACATATTCTGTTCTCAGAAGAGATCAAAAGCAGAAAAGTCCAGTTCAGTTGTGCAGGTAGCACAGAAAATATCTCTTCCTGTTCCAAGAAAGATAATTTCAAATTATTTTCTAGTCTCATGAGCCGCTCTTACCTTTATAATTACTCCCTAACGTTTCTTTTCTTCTATTTCACTTTTGATTTTTTTTTTGTGCTCCAAAATGTGCTCTTCCAAAGTATCGATGGTGTATTTTCCTTTTCAAAATATCTCTTTTACACCCTGATGTACAAGTCTTTTCCTGTGTGCAAGGATCACTTCTGGCCTAAAAAGTTACTTGTTCAGCTTATCTCAAATGGTTGCTGACAGTGTCTGTATCCAGTTTTTGTAGGAAGAAAATAAAGTTACATAAAATGCAATATTTAAATGAGAACTCTGTTGCATTAATTCAGTTTTCATGTGGAATAACTCATTAAATATTAAAAGAAGTAACATTTGGTTTTCTCCCAGATCTGTGCCAATCTGGATGCATGTAGAATCATGACTGTTGAAGAGCATGCATCCCAGCTGAAGAATCAGGTGAAGGAACCATATAAGAAGACTGTGATTGCAGATGATGAGAGAAGGGTATGATTTTTCAAACAAATCAGTGTTAAAGTTATATTGCCTTTTGAAACTGTGTTGTACAATATCAAAAATTTTTGGCTGATGCTCTTTTTCTGTAGACTTATTGTGATCCATAGTGCTAATTTGAATATGTGTGTATTTATCTGCTACTTTCCTCTGAATGGAAAAGTATCAGTAAAGTCAAATAGAACTAAATTTTTACTTATGGGGATTACATTTTTGAGGTCAAAAGACCTTCTGAACCACAGCTGAAATCTTTGCATTGGAGTAACATTATATTCACTTAAAAATATGTTATTTCACAGTAATTTTTGTAATATTTTGAACTATTTATTTCCATAATTAGAAATGCACTTAGTAACTATGCTTTCTTTGTTAATTTAAGGTTTGATGTTTTTAAAAAAATGCTCAGTGTGGTACTAGCCAATGCTTTTGTTGCCAGAAGATACTTACTTTGATAATTAATTTATTTCTAGGATCCATTTAGAGAGAGAATTACTGAGATCATGACAAGCATTCAAAACTATTGCCAGCTCCATCCAAAATCTGAGTTTGGAACTCAGCCATATGAACAGTGGGTGATCAGAGAAGAGAGGAAAGGTAACAGCATAGCAAAAATATCCCAGCTTTGGATTTCTTTAGGTCATTCTATACACAGGCTTGGTTTTGTATTTTTTGTTCACTTTTAGCTGCAAAAGAAGAAAAACGCAAGGAACGTGTCTGTGCAGAGCACTTGAAGAAATACAATGATGCTCTCCAGATAAATGACACCATCCGAATGGTGGATGCATACAATCACCTAAATAACTTTTATAAGGAGGAGAAAAGTAAGAAGATGGTAAGGAGTGATGATGATGATGATGATGAACCAGCAGTATCAAAACATGATGAAACAGATGAATTTCTAATAGGTTTATTTCATGGTAAGTTTGAAATACATTGTGATCCTTAATATTTGAAACCCATGGATTATGCACTAACATGATTTACTTGAACCTATTAATTATTACATTCTAGAGACTGCCGTGTGGTTTATAATTAAGTTTAAAGAGCCTGATAGTGAAAAATAAATTATATTCCAATTTGTTTGATTTCACCACTGAAGGTGCCAGGAGTAATGGAAGAAAATCTAAAATTTCTTTTTCCAACTTTTAAGAGTTCATCTTTGGGTGATAAATTCACTTGCAGCCCTTAGTGTAGGTTTAGCTAAGGGGGACAATTGTGAGTTTGTTATACTACCTACTTTCTGTATATATTTGTGTATGTTTGATTACATTCTAAAATATGAATAAGACTGGAGTCAGGAAGCCACTGCCTAAGTGGTGTAGTAGTTTGTGATACATTGACCACCATTGCAGTGGACAAGGTGCAGTGCCATAATCTACATGGGGTAATGACAGCAGAGTGATTTTAATATCTTAACACACAAGGTCCCCACCTTAAAAGTGTTATTATTGTGTTTGCATGATTATCTGACAATGATATAGGCTTTCAAACATTAGAAGTAATTTAAAAAAAATAAAATACTTGAGGAATCCTCCCTGATCATGGTCAATAGTGCCTGTCGAAGAGATTCATTTGACATTTCACTGAGTGTAATGAAATGTCTTTAAAAGCTGCGGTGCTGATAACAGTGTGCCCATCCTGTTGTCTATTACACTGTATGTTTCTAGTGAGGATTCCTGCTTTAATGAATGTCCCAAGGACAAATTATGTCTGAATTTATAAAAACATTATCAGCTCTGAGGGCTGTGCATATTAATCTGTTTGTCCTTGTAAGACTTCTTCCATTATTTTAAAACTGTTCTGCAAATATTCTAGATTTAGCTCTTTAATACAGTGCATTTAACTCTGTACCACTTCTGGTGTGTAGGCGGGTTTTTTTTTCTTTTGCTTATTCTCACCATGAAATATAGGCAAAGTGTACGGTAAAAAGTTAATGGTGATTTATTTTGATTGATCAGTGTGTTTATAATGAATATAAACTCACTTGAAAAATAATTGGTGTGCCACAGCTCTTCAAACTGGATGTAAATTAGCTATTCTGGGAGAATTATATAGAAAACTGCTCTTTGCTTTGATTTTTTTCTAGAGCTGTTATTTTACATGGTTACTTTTTCTTAATTTACGTCTGCTATTTTTAAAGCAAAAAAGAAACAGCTGAAAGAGTTGGCTAGAAAACCAGAATATGAAAATGAGAAGTTAATACAGTTGCGAAACACTTTAATGGAGGAGTTCACGAAGACTGAAGAACCTAGAGGAATTATTTTCACAAAGACTCGGCTAAGTGCTTTTGCTCTATTCCAGTGGATTAAGGATAACCCCAAATTTGAAGAAGTGGGAATTAAGGCCCATTATCTTATTGGTGCTGGACATAAGAGTGAAATTAAACCCATGACTCAGGTACAGAACTATGTACTACAGCATTAAAATCTTGTACATGATTTGATAAAACAGCTTGTTTTAGTACTAGAACAACAGACTGAAGTTTAAAGCCCCTTCATAAACTGCAGGATGGGTGAATAAGAATATCAGAATAACTTCATTTCCATAGGAAACAAGCTTTTTTGGTTTTGGATTTGGAGTAACAGGAAGCCATTTCCTAGAGGAGTATATAATCAAAAGGGACACAGGTCGTGGTGAGGCATAGGAAGGAAAAGTGAACAAAATCACAATAGCAAAAATATGATAGTTAAACAAGTTTATACTTATTAAGACAACAGTAATTCAAACTATATTTTAGTTGCTGAATTGAAAAATAAAATTACAGTGTTGATTGTGCCTGTCTTTTTCTGATATCATTGCTTAATCAACTCACACCAATTTATATGCATGCTTCACACTGACGCATAATCATTGAAAGAGAATTTGCCAAAATTAGCAATGAAAATATTACAATTGATCACTCAACAGTCCGTCTCATGCCATTGTGTTGGCTTCATAAACAACATCTCTCTGATGATTTATACCTCCAAATTCAACATTTTCAAAACAAAGTACTTAATATCCTAAAACCTCTATTCTATTCTGCCTTTTACTCCCCATAAAATTGCCACCAGCATTTAAGCAAAAATGGTGTGGTTTACTGCTGGGCAGAGGCCATTTCCTTCAGCTGTTGTCAGTGTCAAAAAAGAGTTGGGAATTGTTCTCTCAAAGTTGCTTGTTTTCTGTGAAAATTCGGTATTTAATCTGTGTACAACACTGCACAAACAAAACAGTAGCCTATACATTTTGAAATTGAACGTAGCAGACGGGAAGTTTTTGTCCTTCTGCTCAAGCTTGTTTGAAATACCCAGCTAATTCAGAAATCCATGTTTTGGATGCTTTATTTTTTAAGTATATCATTGTTGTGCTTTTGGTGCTCCCCAGATGACCAAAATTATGGTTCCCATTTATTATGGGAAATTTTAAGTGTGTTGGAACTTGACTTGGAAGTGCTGAAGTTACACTGTGAGCTGAAATTACTGAAGTGGTAGAAATACAGAACCTCTGAATAACTACTTAAAGAATCTGAAGATGAGAGAACAAAAATTCCTGGTGCCTGTGAAATGGTCTACAAAGTTCCAAGCTCAATTACCTTAAAAAGATTGGTTTCTTGGTTTCTGCTCCCTCCTCCCTCAAAAAAGGTGCTGAACACCTCTTATATTCAGTAGGAACTCTTTGTTTGTGATCTTGACAAATGCTTAAGTGCAGTTGTTGAAGCCACTTGATGTTTGGCACTCCACTCTGAAATTATTGGACTGTAATTCCTTAAACCTCTTAATTAGAAGAAACTAATACTGAAAGTTAATATTCTGATTTTTTTTAATTTACAGAATGAGCAAAGGGAAGTTATTGATAAATTCCGAGGTGGAAATGTAAATTTACTTATTGCTACTACTGTAGCTGAGGAAGGCCTAGACATCAAAGAGTGTAACATTGTTATTCGCTATGGCCTTGTCACCAATGAAATTGCTATGGTGCAGGTAAGAGTTTACTGCGTACATAACTTTTATTTTTTAAAGTGCTTTTCTGTTTGGAATATGCAAATGGTGAATCATATACCTAGGGTTTGTAGATAATTTTGAAATACTTGCATGCTAAAAGAGAAAATGCTCTTGCAATGGGGCTCATTGCCAGTTGCTGTCCTCAGTTTGCATGCAATATAAAGTTTGCCTCCATGTGTAATGATGTAATATCCATTTAAAGCTCTATACAAACAGTAAGCTTTTAATTGAAGAGGTATGAGAGTATGATCAGCAGACTGGTTAATATAAAAGACATTTGTACCACCAACAACTGAATAGAGATAATCTCACATCAGAATACCAGTTTGTCCACATTCTCACCTAATTTGTGAACACAAATATTTCTATATTTAATATTTAAATGCATGCTTATTTTTTGGTGACAAAATACAGTTTCTGCTTTGCAAAACGTTGGGCTAATCACAAATCTGAGTACTATTTTCACATATATCTTTGATAATGCAGAAACAGTATGTGTTACTCACTTATTCTTTATCTGCCCGAGCTAGTGGAAAAACATGTTCTGTGGGGACACTATGTAAGGAACAGTACATGTCTTCCATTACAAAACTAGGAAAAAATGTCGTGCAATGTTGTAAGGAACATTGTGATGTTTATGTTGTATTCCTTGAAAATTGTAGGCTCGTGGTCGAGCTCGAGCTGATGAGAGCACCTATGCACTTGTGGCTTCAAGTGGCTCAGGAGCTGTTGAACGTGAAGATGTTAATATTTTCCGTGAGAAAATGATGTATAAGGCCATTCAGCGTGTCCAGAAGATGCCTCAGGAAGAGTATTTAAATAAGGTATTTACTGCAACTCTGCACTTGCCCTTTAAATAAGACTGATGTGCATTGTAAAAAATACTTTCTATTTGCAATTATACTTAGGGGAGGAAAACTTAAAATAATATTAGCTACTACATAGGACCTTGAATCCTTCTGCCAATATTTGTTTTATAATCTATGTTTTCTGGGCCTTTAGAAAAGTCTGCTTTTCTGTTGGTAAGAGGGGCAACACAAATTGGGAAAAATTGACTAGAAGTCATGTTGTCAATGAACTTGGTAAAATAACTGAAAAGAAAACTATACTGTCATTCCACCAGATTATTACAGTGCTCTTTCTGATCTATTTCTAGATTCACAATTTCCAGTTGCAAAGTATAGTAGAAAAAAAAATGAAGGCAAAGAGAGATCAGTGCAAGACATACAAGAAAAATCCTTCACTAATAACATTCTTATGCAAAAATTGCCACAAGCTGGTATGTTCTGGAGAAGACATACAAGTTATTGAAAAGATGCATCATATCAGTGTGAAAAAAGACTTCAAGTAAGTGTTTATGAACTACTTTATCTCTTTCAGGCAGAAACAGATTTTCTTTTCAGCAGGATTGTACAGGGCCTGTAACTCTCTAGGCCCTCTGAGGAAAAATAAAGATTATTCCAATATTGGCAGGTCCTAGGCTTTATGGAGTTTACAGTTGAGTTTGAAGGCAAGATTGGTTCTTACCCCTCATTTCAAGGTGTTCGGGGTTTGAAACTTCGGAAAAAGATACAGCTTCTGTGGTAATAATAACTAGATCACTTGTTACATAATATGGTATGTATTCCACAGTGTAACTGTAACCAAAGATGAATACCAGTTACCCACCTATTTACACAAGTAACAGACCTAGGATAAGAGTCTGACTATGACCAGTGACTCAAACAACATTATGGATTGACAATCTCTAAATATATTTAGAGGATGTTTATACTGGTGGCACACCTCTTTTAGTTCTGCCAGTGTTCTTGCTCCTTCTTACCACCATTGCAAGACATGCCATCTAGTTTGGGAAACATTTTTGTTAAACTGTAACTTCTCAGCGCCATGATGGCAGGAGGTGACTTTGTCTTCCCACTTGCAATGGAAATTAAGAGTCCAAGAAAATATTTTCATTCAACTTCAATTGCATTTGCTTACTACAGTGAATTTGTAACATGTATTGTGCCTAACAGATCAGTCATGCTTTGCTAATTATTTAACAGACACCATCCTGTCAAGTTATTGACCTCCAAAGTTCTCATGTCTTTGAGACATCACTGGTATAATTTATAAAGACGTTTTGAAGAGTTATGAGAAATTAGTACCCATATGTTGAAAAAATTAAAGTTGAGCTGCAGCCTTAAACATTAAACTGCTTTTACCATGAAATTGTCTTGTCAGCATAATGTTATCAGTCAATTCAAACTACAAGGTAGTAATTCTTATAGCTCCTCTACACAGGCTAATAGTAGCCCTCAACATAAGTACTCCCTAAACTAAACAATGTAAGAATGTGCACATACTCTGCAGCTCTGAATAGTCAGAACCAAATTATTCTGTTAAGGGGTATGGTTGGACTACAGGGAATAAATAGAAAACCTCTAACTCTTAGGTATAATTTCTTTGTCAGTTCCATGGCACCTGAAAAAAACAAGCTAGATCTCTTGCTTATTATAATAGGGAGACTGCTGCTCCTACTTTAAGATGTGTGGGGGAAGATGCCGCTCCTGAAATGCTATGAAAGGAGGCATGGAGTACCATTCACCATTACTTAGGAGCATGAAATACGACCTCGCATTTTCTCCAACTCCTGAATGTGCACAATTCATATATGACTTTCAGCAATTGTAGTCACTCTGTGTTTGTCTGTATGTAGCACTGAATGACCAATGTATGCTGATGCACACTGTCTTGACTGTTTTTCAGAAGTCTTTACCATACAAGAGAAAATAAGACACTGCAAGATAAACATGCCGATTACCAGACCAATGGAGAAATTATATGTAAAGATTGTGGACAAGTGAGGAAAAACTTATTTCCACATTTTTATGTTGTTTTTGTCTGTATTTCTGTCTAATGATCTTGTCTATTTTATCTGAAACATAATTTTCTTACACTTGCAGGCTTGGGGAAATATGATGGTTCACCGAGGTCTTGACCTGCCTTGTCTAAAGATTAGAAATTTTGTGGTTGTGTTTGAAGACAAGAAAACAACAAAGCAAATTTTTAAGAAATGGGGAGAACTGCCCATCATGTTCCCTAGTTTTGATTATGCAGCTCATTATCCTTCAAGTGATGAAGATTAAGGACTTAGAATGAAAATAAAATCCCTTTTCAGCTTTTCTCTGACTGCTGATTTAGAAGCTGCTGTGTCCCATAGAGAGTGCTGCATCATAAACACTGTGAAAGCTCCTGGGCAGAAGGAAACTGTCTTGAAGAGGAAATGGACCCAAGGAAGGAGAAAGATACAGTCACACGGCTGCAGTCTGCACACAGATTTGCAGTGGTACTCTAGCACAAAGAAAATTACTAAATACATTGCAGTCATGTGTATCCATGGAACAGATTCCCAGCTCTGCTCACTACAGTCCATCATAGGGTGACAACATTGTCAAAAGTGTGTTACGTGACCTGTGGTCAAGCACAGGATATAGGACAGACATCTTGAAACATGCCATGATGACGATTTTCTGGTTTACTTCCTGCTATAACCCTTTTGATGATACAGTGTCTCAACAGAGAAGCCATGTAAAGAGAACAGATCAGCTGAGTATTATTTCTGAATCATTGTTGCTTTGTCAGTGTTTTCCTGACTGAGTTCTTCCCCTCTTATCTTTAGCTGTAAGCTCATACATTTTCACAGACTAAAATTAAGTTTCCATTAAAAGCCATTTCAAAAAATAAAGCCCTTAACCTGACTCGAAATTGATTATTTTAATGTCCAAGAAGCACAATGCTAAGTGACTTCCTGTGTGTTAGTTTCATAGGATTGTTAAACTGGCTATATAATGAAGTATGTATATTTTTAATAAATTATTACAACAATTAACCTTTGAAAACTGTGATATTTTTATTGTCTTTCACTATAAGTGGTGTGACAATAATAATAATACCACACTTTTACCCTAGAAATTTAAAGGATAGTGGTATTCTGATTGAAAAAATAGCATAATGTGTCCCCATATTTATCTCATTGACAGATTTTTTTTTTCCCCTCTATTTGCAAGTAAGATATTAGAGAGTGGAAAGAAGGTCTGTTTGTTGTTACAACAGTCAGCTTTGCAAATTTAGGATAAAGTATTGTGTTTACTGGCATGGACATGTAAACATTTCAGTAGCCCCAGGTAAAATTTCTAAGTTACAACATAGCTGAAAAGTATATCCCAGCAAAAAAAAAGAATCTTGTTATGTCTAGATCTGTAATTGCTCTACATTTTTAAAAGAAATATAAATACTGTGCACATTCTTGTAAATCACATTTGATTTAAGGTTTGCATCAAGACAAGATTTTTTTTTTTTTTTCCCCACATTTCTGGCCTTTCTTCAGAGGGAGGGGAAAACAAATTTCTGACTGACAAGAGCAGCACGTTTCAGATATCACCAAACTGATACAGGCAATTTTGGGATTAGCTACTTACTTATAAACAAATTAAAGTATTATGAAATAAATATGCACACTGATGAGTTTTCACTAGAGCAGTTTTGTAGATTAGAATGTGCTTAAACTACATGAATTGTAGTTTATTTATAGATTGAAATTATTCCACAATGGTGATTTATAACAATAAACTACCACCTTAGGACTCTAAAAAAAAATCAGGCATATTGAGAGTTAAGAGATTATAATATATGCAAAGATGTTTCAAGACACAGCAATTCCACATGTATTTTTGAATAATACAACTAAAATAGGAAAGACTACTGGGAGATAGAGCGTGTAAATGGCTTGTACTGTATGTGTTTTCTATTTGTGTATATCTTTATATAATGCTATTCTTACCTCTGTGTATTGTGCAGGGCAGAACAAATGTGAAACCTTCACCAATTACTTTATTCAGCATTAAATACTTAATTAGCTGAAAAAATTAAACAATTCCCTTCATCTGTAGTTCTCAGAAACTCTAAGTTACTCTCTTTCTTGTAGTATTTTACTTAATACGGAAGCTTTTGGCTACTTCTGGAATCTGCTGATTTTGCATTAAGTGCAGGATAAATTTTACACTTGTTACACATTGATCTGAGAATCTGACTATTTAAAAATGTTGGAGATTGATCATACGATTGCAATTTAAGATGTATTTTGTTCATGTGCTCAGTATCTGATAAGATGCTCTGAAATATACTAAATTATTTGAATAGTCTTTCTGGGTAAATAATTATCATCCAGAACATCTCTGGATTTCTGTATTAATGAGTTGCTACAATTATGTAAATATAACATAATACACTGTACACAGCATTTTCAAGTGCATTTATTCAGTACTTTAAAGAAGTATAAAACCCTGGTAGAAAAATTATATCATTATACAGATTACTGCTGGGTCCTCAATCAAATAATTTTCCATGCTGAGTAAATTTTCTGAAATTCGAGTTTTTGATACTTCCCTTTATTGAAGCAACAAGAGTCTGTGCAGCTGGATTTCTTTGTTCTCTTATAGTTGAGTTCAACAGGGCCGTATCACAAACACGTGTGAGCTTCTTGTGGTTCACTTGTGTGCTGCTGTTATCCTCCCAGTTCCTAGCGTGACTCAGCCACAGTCACCAAAGCTTAAAGAGTGTTTGCACAATCTCACTTCAGCATAATGTGTAATGAACCTCAAATAAATCCTGCTGGTGTGTAGGATAAGGAATTTCCACTTCAAGCTATTGTCTCTGAATGGGGTTGTAAAACGTGCCTATATTGTTCATCCAGGAAGTGTGAAGTTGTAAAAAACAAGCTAAATTGCCATATTTTATCTGCTAGTTACTTCTGCATTTATTGCCTTTATGGACCCAAAGCCCTCCAGGGAGTGTGACAAATCCTGATTATATTTTGTACTTACAGCTTTTATTTGTTCACAAATGTGGAAAGAAGAAAAAACTATTAGTCACTGGGGATTTGTCTAGCTATGTGTGTGCCTACTTAAGACCTGGTTCAGCTTTAGTTGCATTTTCATTATTCTATCTATTTTTGGTCTGATGTCATGCACAACCTACTCTGTAAGTCTACATTTCCTCATCTGGGAAGCATAAATACTTTAGTAACCGTGGAGTAGTTGCATAACTGGTTGGATAGTTGCTGAATAAACTGAGTATGTTTTCTTTTCCATAATTTGTCCATTTCTCCAACAGATTCACCCTCTTTCTAGCTTGCTTACATTTTTAGTTCTATCTTCATTATGGGGTTCTGATGTTACAGAAGTTAGGAAGAGCTTTGGCTGTTGAAAGAATTACTGGTTTGCTTCTCCACTGGTACTAGTACAAACAGTCCAGAGAGGGGAGTTCAGGTGTTAGGAGCAATAGATCTACAAAGCTTGTAAAGATCGTTCTCTACCAGGTAGATTTTATTTTGCTTCTAATGCTGCAACCTTTGTGAATCTTACGACAGTACATGTCTAAATAATTAGACTTCCAAAATAGAAAAATATATAGCATGCAGCATATAGTCTTTTTGCAGTCTTTTATATCATGTGAGTTTGAATAATTTCCTTTGAGGCATTCTTTAAATATGTATTCATTACAGGAAGCTGCATATTTAGAAATGAAAACTAGCCTCATCAAAACCTGCATTTGCAAATTTTTTATGGTCTGGTGGTCAGAAATAAACAATGTGGGTAGAAAAAAAATGATTAAACTGTGTTATTGAAAATTTATATGGCATTAACCACAAAATGCTAGGAAATAATGTGAAGAAGAAGCACGAGTTACATGGGGAGAAAATTATTTTGTCACAATCATTTCTGTTTTGGAAATTTTGAGCAGCTGTGGTTTTCTCTTGTTAGGAAACACTATTGTTTTTGAGCTCAGTTCTGCTCTTCACATACAGTGTATCCGGGACAATGTGTTTTAGTCTTCTCAGCCTTTTTTCCTGCATGGTCTGTGTCAACAGCATGGGTCTTATTCAGAAATTTTAACTTGTATAACTTGTACTTTACTGTTGTGACAAGAACTGGGAGAGGACTGAGCTTAGGCATTTCATATCACTTGTTTTTCCAGACAATTAATTTAAATCTGTTTTCAAAAATCGCCCCACCAAGACTATGGTAAGGAATGTTGCCAAAACACTGCCCAGATGAGCTGCTGCTGTACCAAGACTGGTGTAATGGTTAGGGTTCAAATTCCAGCCCATGCTGTTAGGCTAAGGTGGTAATGTGGCTACTACCTTTGGTGGTAATGCATTGAGGTTTTTTTCTCTGTAAAACATTAGATCAAGTTCTGCTGGACAGTGGTGTGATAGGAAACCTACCTCATCTACTATATTTTCAAAGAAGCCAGAGGGTGTGATGCATCCAGCTACTACTGAATTTCAGTAAGATTCGGGTGCTTAGTCCTTAACTTCCTCTGAAACCTCATAGGCCTGTGCCTAACTTCCACACTGAGGCACTGTCATACTGCACTCATTTTCTCACCGTCTTATTTTTTCCCTTTTTAAGCACAGGAGAGAAATGAAAGATTAGTGCAGGGAGAAAGATGTGATTGAGCAGACTCCATGTGCAAAACCCAACCTGCAACTTCCAGTTACTGGTCTCTTAGGTTTCATATCAAACCTAGTGTATGTTCTGTCAGCATGTGGCCTTCTTTGGCAGTTGACGTTTACCACACGGCAGCAAGAAGGAAGCAGAGATGGGCCTGGGGCTGCAGCTGGGCCTGCCCACCCCAAGCAGGCCATGGAGGCCAAGCAGGGGAAGGCCCACTGCCAGGCGCTGCTGGCTCCTCTGGTGTGGGCACTGGCTGAAATGGTGGGGAAGCTGCAGGAATTAAGTGGATGATAGGTGATAGGCTTTGTTTTGTAGTTCAGTTCCGCTGCTGTCATCCTTGGTGCTTTTTTGTATGTAACACCAAGCCTGAACCCATGGCTGTGGAGCAGAGCACTCTGCACAGGTTCTTGGTGTTTCCTTCCAGCACATGGATGAATACTACAAAGGGTGTTGTGGGTTTTTTTTTTCCCTTACCCCTAATAACCCATCTGAAATGCCTGGCCCAGTCTCATGCTCAGCTTAATCATCTGAAAGAATGATTCCTGACCGTGGTAGGAGCACTGGAAGGATTTCCTTTTCGAGATCATCCTTCTGAGGCCTGCACATCGCCAATAGACAGCTGTGTGTTGCAGGGTGTGTGGAGATGCACCACAGAGCATCCAACCTCACCGCGTGAGCCCGAAAGTTTGGGTGGGGGCGGCAAGGGTGCTGGGAAAGAGCAGTGAAGCAAGGAGGCGACAGTGCCGGGCGCTCCTGAGGGAGCGGGGTCCCTGCGGGACACGGGCTGTGCGGGGCGCGGTTAAGCGGCGCTCCGGGCCCACAGAGCGCTGCCGCGGTTCAGCGTTTGTCTCTTTCCAGGCGGGTTGGGCCGCGGGGGGGCGCGCGGCCGCCAGGGGCAGC